AGGGCGTCTGGGAACCCTCAACGCATGGGTTCGATCCCTCATCACGGCTCCTATGGATTTGTTCCTGTAATTATTGAGGTGAGGTAACACTCTCTAGTGAATACTGCTAGTGTGTCAGTGTAGCCATACTCTGGTGTATGGTATACTGCTAGTGTGTCAGTGTAGCCATACTCTGGTGTATGGTATACTGCTAGTGTGTCAGTGTAGCCATACTCTGGTGTAAGGTATACTGCTGGTGTGTCAGTGTAGCCATACTCTGGTGTATGGTATACTGCTGGTGTGTCAGTGTAGCCATACTCTGGTGTATGGTATACTGCTGGTGTGTCAGTGTAGCCATACTCTGGTGTATGGTATACTGCTGGTGTGTCAGTGTATCCATACTCTGGTGTATGGTATACTGCTGGTGTGTCAGTGTAGCCATACTCTGGTGTATGGTATACTGCTAGTGTGTCAGTGTAGCCATACTCTGGTGTATTGTATACTGCTAGTGTGTCAGTGTAGCCATACTCTGGTGTATGGTATACTGCTGGTGTGTCAGTGTAGCCATACTCTGGTGTATGGTATACTGCTGGTGTGTCAGTGTAGCCATACTCTGGTGTATGGTATACTGCTGGTGTGTCAGTGTAGCCATACTCTGGTGTATGGTATACTGCTGGTGTGTCAGTGTAGCCATACTCTGGTGTATGGTATACTGCTGGTGTGTCAGTGTAGCCATACTCTGGTGTATGGTATACTGCTAGTGTGTCAGTGTAGCCATACTCTGGTGTATTGTATACTGCTAGTGTGTCAGTGTAGCCATACTCTGGTGTATGGTATACTGCTAGTGTGTCAGTGTAGCCATACTCTGGTGTATGGTATACTGCTGGTGTGTCAGTGTAGCCATACCCTGGTGTATGGTATACTGCTGGTGTGTCAGTGTAGGCATACTCTGGTGTATGGTATACTGCTGGTGTGTCAGTGTAGCCATACTCTGGTGTATGGTATACTGCTGGTGTGTCAGTGTAGCCATACTCTGGTGTATGGTATACTGCTAGTGTGTCAGTGTAGCCATACTCTGGTGTATTGTATACTGCTAGTGTGTCAGTGTAGCCATACTCTGGTGTATGGTATACTGCTGGTGTGTCAGTGTAGCCATACTCTGGTGTATGGTATACTGCTGGTGTGTCAGTGTAGCCATACTCTGGTGTATGGTATACTGCTGGTGTGTCAGTGTAGCCATACTCTGGTGTATGGTATACTGCTAGTGTGTCAGTGTAGCCATACTCTGGTGTATGGTATACTGCTAGTGTGTCAGTGTAGCCATACTCTGGTGTATGGTATACTGCTGGTGTGTCAGTGTAGCCATACTCTGGTGTATGGTATACTGCTGGTGTGTCAGTGTAGCCATACTCTGGTGTATGGTATACTGCTGGTGTGTCAGTGTAGCCATACTCTGGTGTATGGTATACTGCTGGTGTGTCAGTGTAGCCATACTCTGGTGTATGGTATACTGCTGGTGTGTCAGTGTAGCCATACTCTGGTGTATGGTATACTGCTAGTGTGTCAGTGTAGCCATACTCTGGTGTATTGTATACTGCTAGTGTGTCAGTGTAGCCATACTCTGGTGTATGGTATACTGCTGGTGTGTCACTGTAGCCATACTCTGGTGTATGGTATACTGCTGGTGTGTCAGTGTAGCCATACTCTGGTGTATGGTATACTGCTGGTGTGTCAGTGTAGCCATACTCTGGTGTATGGTATACTGCTAGTGTGTCAGTGTAGCCATGCTATGGTGTATGGTATACTGCTAGTGTGTCAGTGTAGCCATACTCTGGTGTATGGTATACTGCTAGTGTGTCAGTGTAGCCATACTCTGGTGTATGGTATACTGCTAGTGTGTCAGTGTAGCCATACTCTGGTGTATGGTATACTGCTAGTGTGTCAGTGTAGCCATACTCTGGTGTATGGTATACTGCTGGTGTGTCAGTGTAGCCATACTCTGGTGTATGGTATACTGCTGGTGTGTCAGTGTAGCCATACTCTGGTGCATGGTATACTGCTGGTGTGTCAGTGTAGCCATACTCTGGTGCATGGTATACTGCTAGTGTGTCAGTGTAGCTATACTCTGGTGTATGGTATACTGCTAGTGTGTCAGTGTAGCCATACTCTGGTGTATGGTATACTGCTAGTGTGTCAGTGTTGCCATACTCTGGTGCATGGTATACTGCTAGTGTGTCAGTGTAGCCATACTCTGGTGTATGGTATACTGCTAGTGTGTCAGTGTAGCCATACTCTGGTGTATGGTATACTGCTAGTGTGTCAGTGTAGCCATACTCTGGTGCATGGTATACTGCTAGTGTGTCAGTGTAGTTATACTCTGGTGTATGATATACTGTCGTGTGTAAGGTATACTGAGATTATCATTTCTTTACTATGCACCCCATACCCATCCCGTGGGCGGTGGTGGACCCCCAATACCAATTCCGTGGAATGGGTTACAGAGGCACATAATGGTTCAGGAACTGAACCCCATAGTTCGTTTAGCTAAGAGAGTGACAATCTTTTGATGCTAGATCCAGCTTTGTTAATGTTACATACACATGTTCATATATATATATATATATATATATATATATATATATATATATATATATATATATATATATATATATATATATATATATATATATATATATATATATATATATATATATATATATATATATATATACCCATGTTCACAAATACATATACATATCAATAATACAATTGTAATCACAAGTGATTCAACAAGAGGCTCACAACAGTCACTATACAAGGCACTTTATCAATGGTGAGTTACACAGTTACTAGTCTTGCTCTACACCCACTCAACTGGGCGGCAACTTTACAGTCATGTGCTCCTCACCCACCCAACTGGGCGGCAGTTTTACAGTCATGTGCTCCTCACCCACCCAACTGGGCGGCAACTTTACAGTCATGTGCTCCTCACCCACCCAACTGGGCGGCAACTTTACAGTCATGTGCTCCTCACCCACCCAACTGGGCGGCAGTTTTACAGTCATGTGGTCCTCACCCACCCAACTGGGCGGCAGCTTTACAGTCATGTGCTCCACACCCACTCAACTGGGCGGCAGCTTTACAGTCATGTGCTCCACACCCACCCAACTGGGCGGCAGCTTTACAGTCATGTGCTCCACCCCCACCTAACTGGGCGGCAGCTTTACAGTCATGTGCTCCACACCCACCCAACTGGGCGGCAGCTTTACAGTCATGTGCTCCACACCCACTCAACTGGGCGGCAGCTTTACAGTCATGTGCTCCACCCCCACCTAACTGGGCGGCAGCTTTACAGTCATGTGCTCCACCCCCACCTAACTGGGCGGCAGCTTTACAGTCATGTGCTCCACACCCACTCAACTGGGCGGCAGCTTTACAGTCATGTGCTCCACCCCCACCTAACTGGGCGGCAGCTTTACAGTCATGGGCTCCACACCCACTCAACTGGGCGGCAGCTTTACAGTCATGTGCTCCACACCCACTTAACTGGGCGGCAGCTTTACAGTCATGTGCTCCTCACCCACCTAACTGGGCGGCAGCTTTACAGTCATGTGCTCCTCACCCACCCAACTGGGCGGCAGCTTTACAGTCATGTGCTCCACCCCCACCTAACTGGGCGGCAGCTTTACAGTCATGTGCTCCACACCCACCCAACTGGGCGGCAGTTTTACAGTCATGTGCTCCTCACCCACCCAACTGGGCGGCAGTTTTACAGTCATGTGCTCCTCACCCACCCAACTGGGCGGCAGCTTTACAGTCATGTGCTCCTCACCCACCCAACTGGGCGGCAGTTTTACAGTCATGTGCTCCTCACCCACCCAACTGGGCGGCAGCTTTACAGTCATGTGCTCCTCACCCACCCAACTGGGCGGCAGTTTTACAGTCATGTGCTCCTCACCCACCCAACTGGGCGGCAGTTTTACAGTCATGTGCTCCTCCCCCATCCAACTGGGCGGCAGCTTTACAGTCATGTGCTCCTCACCCGCCCAAGTGGGCGGCAGCTTTACAGTCATGTGCTCCACACCCACCCAACTGGGTGGCAGCTTTACAGTCATGTGCAGGCTGCACCTACAGTAAGCTAATTGTGAATACTTCACTAAGATTCCTGGCAGTGGATCATTATGAATAAAGTACTTATACATTTCTTGGACAATATTGATGTTTTTATCTCTTAATTCCGCGATTTTTTTCTCATCCCATTATATAATGACGCAAAGTATGCGAGTAGTTATGCTAACACAATTTACATTTAGTCAAATCTTCATCAACAGATCTTCAAACTTCCAGAGTTAAAAACCAGACCTAAATATTCCTAGGCCTAATATAGCACATATATGTCCTATATTTGGCCTCAGGTCGCGTGCTTAGGCCTTGGATGGGTAGATTTGGTTAGGTTTTATTAGCAGCATAAATAACAAAAAAAGTCTTCCAGGTTTGTCCAAATTCAGTAGCACCAAGTTCCACTTACTAATTGGTCACTACGTCAAAATATGAACGATGGTCCACACCGTTACTGTAAGTCCGTGTTAAACAGCAGGATGGACTCGAGTCTCGGGAGAGTGTGAGAGGCTTGTTCTATGGAAGATCTTGTTCAGCAAGTAACAAGATGTTCTTTAGAACATCTCGCGTTTAATGTTTATCTACCTGTTCCCTAGAACATCTTGCTCACTGCAGAACATCATATTGTCCACCAGTGTGACCTTACGCTGACCTCATCAAAGGCAACTGGAGACCGTCGCTCTACCGTCCACCCCAAGTGGTGGGACGGTAATGAGAGAGAATGGGAGAGAGAGAGAGTAATGTAGGGAAGGAGGGAGAGAGAATGAAAATAGGAAAGAGAATGGGAGGGATGAAGATTGAGAGGAAAAGGGAGGGAAAGGAAGAGAAGAGATAGGATAGAAAGTAGAGAGAGGATAGATGAAGAGGTGAGAGAGATAGGGAGTGTGGTGAAGCAAGAGAGGATGGCGGGTAGTGACCCAGACACAGCCGGGTACTCTGGTTATAGTGTTACGGGGGAAGGTAATGTGGTCACCCAGCAGGTACTAAGTTTAACCAACATTAAACAAAACACATTTGACCTTAGCAGTGTGAAAATATGGTTAAGCATTAAAGTAAACTCAAGCAAAAATATAACAAATTTACTTTCAAAAAAGAAACACAACAAATGTGTATTTTGTTGTGTTGAAGTTATGTGTCAAAAAGAAACAACACGACTTCAAACTTAACATACAATAATCTTGGCTGTTATACAATAGAAATAATAAAAGAACACATCAAATTTAAAGGTACGGTAAACAATATAAACAAAATAAGGCCTTACGAAGAGTTATATCACACACCACCAACTGGTCACGAAACAGCTGGGAGCTGGATCGTGGACAGCTTACAGGGAAGACACCCGTAGTGCACCTGGAGTGACTGACGATGGTAGCCGGTCCAGGGCTATATATTCCCCCTCCCGGTGATGTCACATTAAACTTCATACTTGCTGGCGATCAATTTTCGTCGTGATGGAGATGTCAACGACGAGGGTGAGAGGGAAGGGGACAGTTTACCGGGCTATACAGGGGAATTGTCTGACAATATAAACAGAGAAATTTTATGAGTTTTTCAGATTTTTTCCAGACAAACATAACCGCAACGTTTGGTACAATGTTCCATTATAGTCACAATAGTGAAAACATTTTTTTGATTGCATTGTGTGCTTGTTGGGAGCAAGTATTGCATGTTCTGGGAGAGAGAACGGGAGGGAGGGAGAATTGGCAGAGAAGGAGAGAGAATTGGCAGAGAAGGAGAGAGAATTGGCAGAGAAGGAGAGTGTGAAAAAGAAAGAATGTTAGGTAGGAGGGAATAGAGAATGAATGGGAAGAAGTGAGAGAGAATGGTAAAAAAGAATGAGGTGGATTGAATGAAAAAGGACAGAAGCTAGGGAAAGAGGAAAAGGGGGAGGAAGAACGGAAGAGAAGAAGAGAGAGAGAAGTAGAGGTAAGGAGGAAGGGAGAGAGAATGCGAAATAAGGAAGGAGAGAAACAGAGACTCCAGGCACCACTAATCACTCCATCTAGGATTACATATCCAGTTTCCAAAATCCGTCAAGTCATAGAGCATGTTCTAGAAATGTTATGTTCTAGAAACCCAACTTTCTGCTTGTAACTCATCTTGTATGTAACTCACTCACTCTCACACACACACTCACTCACTCTCTCTCTCTCTCTCTCTCTCTCTCTCTCTCTCTCTGTATATATATATATTAGTATATTTTGGTAGCAGTCTTTCCTGTAGACATATATTATTAAATATGACCGAAAAAGTAAGATTAATAATTCTAACACGAATTTTCTCAATCTTTCGTACATTTCGTTTCACTGTTGGAGGTAAATCAAAAATCAATTCTCCAAAATTCATTTTTATTTCTAGTCTGACGCGACACGAGCGCGTTTCGTAAAACTTATTACATTTTCAAAGACTTTAGTTCACAAATACACAACTGAATAGAATTTACGCATCTCCGATTTTATATCTACATTTGAGTGAGGTGGAAGGGGTGATGTGGCATTAACACAAGACAGAACAAGATGTGGTATTAATAGGGTATTAATTTCATCAACACAAGACAGAACAGGAGTATTAATAGGGTATTAATTTCATCAACACAAGACAGAACACGAAACAATGGATAAGTTTTACGAAACGCGCTCGTGTCGCGTCAGACTAGAAATAAAAATGAATTTTGGAGAATTGATTTTTGATTTACCTCCAACAGTGAAACGAAATGTACGAAAGATTGAGAAAATTCGTGTTAGAATTATTAATCTTACTTTTTCGGTCATATTTAATAATATATATATATATATATAGGGGGGTACCACCACTGGTGCATTTATAGGGACCCACAGCCTCAGAGAAGGGAACACAGAGCACTCAGGGAAAAACTTGACATTTAACTCTGAATGCGAAAGAGTGTTCACTTCTCCTACCACCCCCTTTTTTTTTTTATTTATTTATTATGATGTACACTTTATTATGCAAGGTTATACAGTTACATATCTGATTTTATACAAAAAATAAACATTAAGAGGACACAAGAAAAAGTTCGCTTCCTAGAGGCTGTAGATTTCCTCGAACTCCTCCGACGCCGGGCAGGAACCGAGGATGCAGCGGGCATTTCCCCTCTGGATCGCGACACTGAGGCGCTGAAAGAGAAAACTTGCTGCTCTAGGGTCTCTTGTGGTGTCAATGAGCTTGGAACCAAGATCCTTAAGAAACCTTCTTGCACTCTCACCCCATGGGCCTAGGGTCTCAGACCCTATTGGAACGAAATTGTACCTTTGATCTAATTGCCTGTACTTGACTGACTTTTGTTTTTCTCTGTGTGTCGCTGCGGCTCCTGCCGTGCCGGCAGAGAGGGTGATGTATGTCGTTGCCAGGGTGGATATGCAAGTATAGTCCCATGCTAACTGCCTGCCACCCTTCCACGGACGCAGTGTGATTCCGTCTGGTCGGCCGGCAAAGCTAACAGAGTCACGGTTCAGTAGGTTGCGGGGCTCTCTCTCCGCTGGACACTGAGCAGAGGCAAGGCTTCTTTTAATGATGTCGTTGACTTCGTCGTGTCTAGTGTGCCAACCACCCGATTTTCCACAGTGCAGGCCACTGTGGCGCTGAAAATATATATATATATATATATATATATATATATATATATATATATATATATATATATATATATATATATATATATATATATATATATATATCTTATGCATACTCTCATCCATTACCATACAAATTTCACCGATAAATTCAGAATAAAATCTAGTTGGCCTCCGGTTAAACACGCCATTCATTTCGATAATTTTGAGTAAAATATAATTATCAGCTTCACATGCTTTAATTAAGCAATGATTTAATTTCAATACTAATCAGAACGGCTATTCAGACACCAGACGAGGTGGAAATCCCTGCTGGAATTCCGACTGTGTTCTGGCTGTCCACTGTTACCATTTGGCCTGGGAAAAAACACCGGCGCCGAGACACACTGGAATTTTATGTTTCTGTTTCGGAAAAGTACTGCTGGTGAGCCGCGGGTCTGTCCGTACACCACGAAGTGAGAGTCGTAAAGGCTGTGTGTCCACCATTACTGTGGCCGCCCCTCTCCCACAGGTCCTGAAGAGAGTCCAAAAGATTGGCGGTAAACTATTTTCAGACATCCTATTGTCCTACTTCACCATGATTCACATCTCCCTAAGTGTATCTGGATGTATTTTCTGACTTTTTCTAAGAATTTTTGCACCATTGCCCTTTAGAGTAGTGTCTGCAAACTTTTTGAATGTATGGTTAACGTATGTGTCGTGTGACTCTGGGACCGCCATCGTTACCTCCACATCCTCTCTGGCTTTCCTAAATTTCGCAGCATGAGTAATATTTGAGTGGACTTGGATGTCTACATTCGTACAGCCTTTGCTGCAAATAATGCCATTGTTGCCCTTCTTTATGAACTGGAAAAGGCTTATGGCACTATCTGGAGATACAGTATTTTAGCCGAACTAAACTCTCTCGGTCTTGGTGGACATCTGCCAATCTTCCCTCAACACTTCCTCGTTAAAGTGAGGCTTGGTACTGCATTCTTCCTCTCTTTTGAAGAAGTTCCACAAGTAGTGTTGCGAGCATTATTATTTTTTCTGTTTGCACTAAACTGCCTTCCATCCTCCCTTCTCCCTGGCCTTGTCTCAGCCTTATGTTGACATCTCACTCCCAGCTGTGGCGGTGACCACTGTCTCCCCCACAACACCAGCTGTGGTGGTGACCACTGTCTCCCCCACAACACCAGCTGTGGTGGTGACCACTGTCTCCCCCACAACACCAGCTGTGGTGGTGACCACTGTCTCCCCCACAACACCAGCTGTGGTGATGACCACTGTCTCCCCCACAACACCAGCTGTGGTGGTGACCACTGTCTCCCCCACACCACCAGCTGTGGTGGTGACCACTGTCTCCCCCACAACACCAGCTGTGGTGGTGACCACTCCCCTGTCTCCCCCACAACACCAGCTGTGGTGGTGACCACTGTCTCCCCCACAACACCAGCTGAGGTGGTGACCACTCCCCTGTCTCCCCCACAACACCAGCTGTGGCGGTGACCACTCCCCTGTCTCCCCCACAACACCAGCTGTGGTGGTGACCACTCCCCTGTCTCCCCCACAACATCAGCTGTGGCGGTGACCACTCCCCTGTCTCCCCAACACCACCAGCTGTGGTGGTGACCACTGTCTCCCCCACACCACCAGCTGTGGTGGTGACCACTGTCTCCCCCACACCACCAGCTGTGGTGGTGACCACTGTCTCCCCCACACCACCAGCTGTGGTGGTGACCACTGTCTCCCCCACACCACCAGCTGTGGTGGTGACCACTGTCTCCCCCACACCACCAGCTGTGGTGGTGACCACTGTCTCCCCCACAACACCAGCTGTGGTGGTGACCACTGTCTCCCCCACAACACCAGCTCCAACTTGGGAATGGTAATGTGTCGACCTGGGCCACTGATGATCGATGCTCTCATGTACGCTACAACCAAGACTTCTGCTCTGACTTTTACTGTGAAGCTTGTCGTCCCCTCTCCCCCTAGCCCCTTGTCGTCCCCTCTTCCCCTCGCCCCTTGTCGCCCCCTCTCCCCCACGCCCCTTGTCGTCCCCTCTCCCCCTCGCCCCTTGTCGTCCCCTCTCCCCCTCGCCCCTTGTCGTCCCCTCTCCCCCTCGCCCCTTGTCGTCCCCTCTCCCCCTCACCCCTTGTCGTCCCCTCTCCCCCTCGCCCCTTGTCGTCCCCTCTCCCCACGCCCCTTGTCGTCCCCTCTCCCCCACACCCCTTGTTGTCGTCCCCTCTTCCCCTCGCCCCTTGTCGTCCCCTCTCCCCCTCGCCCCCTGTCGTCCTCTCTCCCCCTCGCCCCTTGTCGTCCCCTCTCCCCCTCGCCCCTTGTCGTCCCCTCTCCCCCACGCCCCTTGTCGTCCCCTCTCCCCCTCGCCCCTTGTCGTCCCCTCTCCCCCTCGCCCCTTGTCGTCCCCTCTCTCCCACGTCCCGTTCTCGCCCGTTGTCGTCCCCTCTCCCCCTCGCCCCCTGTCGTCCCCTCTCCCCCACGCCCCTTGTCGTCCCCTCTCCCCCTCGCCCCTTGTCGTCCCCTCTCCCCCACGCCCCTTGTCGTCCCCTCTCCCCCTCGCCCCTTGTCGTCCCCTCTCCCCCTCGCCCGTTGTCGTCCCCTCTCCCCCTCACCCCTTTTCGTCCCCTCTCCCCCTCGCCCCTTGTCGTTCTCTGGCAATATCGGGATTCCTGGGGATGAGTAACAAAAAGAATGCCTGGTCGAGGACCGGGCCGCGGGGACGCTAAGCCCTGAAATCATCTCAAGATAACCTCAAGATAACATTTGTCTGTCGCTCACCTTAGATTCTTGTCACGTAATTCCTGAGGAAGCTGACATATGCAGACTCCATTATTGACACTCTTCCTTCCTGGTGTCTGACCTCTTTGTTTGTGGCGTCTATTGCTGCGTCTCTGTCTCGACCCTTCTGTGTCATGGTGCTGTGTTACCTGGCAGCTCTGGTGTCATGGTGCTGTGTTACCTGGCAGCTCTGGTGTCATGATGCTGTGTTACCTGGCAGCTTTGGTGTCATGGTGCTGTGTTACCTGGCAGCTCTGGTGTCATGGTGCTGTGTTACCTGGCAGCTCTGGTGTCATGGTGCTGTGTATGATACTGTGTTACCTGGCAGCTCTGGTGTCATGATGCTGTGTTACCTGGCAGCTCTGGTGTCATGGTGCTGTGTATGATACAGTTACCTGGCAGCTCTGGTGTCATGGTGCTGTGCTGTGTATGATACTGTGTTACCTGGCAGCTCTGGTGTCATGGTGCTGTGTATGATACTGTGTTACCAGGCAGCTCTGGTGTCATGGTGCTGTGTTACCTGGCAGCTCTGGTGTCATGATGATGTGCATGATACTGTGTTACCTGGCAGCTCTGGTGTCATGGTGCTGTGTATGATACTGTGTTACCTGGCAGCTCTGGTGTCATGGTGTGTTACTGTGTCATGGTGCTGTGTATGATACTGTGTTACCTGGCAGCTCTGGTGTCATGGTGCTGTGTATGCTGTGTTACCTGGCAGCTCTGGTGTCATGGTGCTGTGTATGGTACTGTGTTACCTGGCAGCTCTGGTGTCATGTTGCTGTGAATGACTGTGTTACCTGGCAGCTCTGGTGTCATGATGCTGTGTATGATACTGTGTTACCTGGCAGCTCTGGTGTCATGGTGCTGTGTATGATACTGTGTTACCTGGCAGCTCTGGTGTCATGGTGCTGTGTATGATACTGTGTTACCTGGCAGCTCTGGTGTCATGGTGCTGTGTATGATACTGTGTTACCTGGCAGCTCTGGTGTCATGGTGCTGTGTATGATACTGTGTTACCTGGCAGCTCTGGTGTCATGATGCTGGTGTCATGGTGCTGTGTATGGTACTGTGTTACCTGGCAGCTCTGGTGTCATGATGCTGTGTATGATACTGTGTTACCTGGCAGCTCTGGTGTCATGGTGCTGTGTATGATACTGTGTTACCTGGCAGCTTTGGTGTCATGGTGCTGTGTTACCTGGCAGCTCTGGTGTCATGGTGCTGTGTATGATACTGTGTTACCTGGCAGCTCTGGTGTCATGGTGCTGTGTATGATACTGTGTTACCTGGCAGCTCTGGTGTCATGATGCTTTGTATGATACTGTGTTATGACTGTGTATGATGCTGTGTTACCTGGCAGCTCTGGTGTCATGATGCAGTGTATGATACTGTGTTACCTGGCAGCTCTGGTGTCATGATGATGTGCATGATACTGTGTTACCTGGCAGCTCTGGTGTCATGATGCTGTGTATGATACTGTGTTACCTGGCAGCTCTGGTGTCATGATGCTGTGTTACCTGGCAGCTCTGGTGTCATGGTGCTGTGTATGATACTGTGTTACCTGGCAGCTCTGGTGTCATGATGCTGTGTATGATACTGGCAGCTCTGGTGTCATGGTGCTGTGTATGATACTGTGTTACCTGGCAGCTCTGGTGTCATGGTGCTGTGTATGATACTGTGTTACCTGGCAGCTCTGGTGTCATGATGCTGTGTATGATACTGTGTTACCTGGCAGCTCTGGTGTCATGGTGCTGTGTATGATACTGTGTTACCTGGCAGCTCTGGTGTCATGATGCTGTGTATGATACTGTGTTACCTGGCAGCTCTGGTGTCATGGTGCTGTGTATGGTACTGTGTTACCTGGCAGCTCTGGTGTCATGATGCTGTGTATGATACTGTGTTATCTGGCAGCTCTGGTGTCATGGTGCTGTGTATGATACTGTGTTACCTGGCAGCTTTGGTGTCATGGTGCTGTGTTACCTGGCAGCTCTGGTGTCATGGTGCTGTGTATGATACTGTGTTACCTGGCAGCTCTGGTGTCATGGTGCTGTGTATGATACTGTGTTACCTGGCAGCTCTGGTGTCATGATGCTTTGTATGATACTGTGTTACCTGACAGCTCTGGTGTCATGATGTTGTGTTACCAGGCAGCTCTGGTGTCATGATGCAGTGTATGATACTGTGTTACCTGGCAGCTCTGGTGTCATGATGATGTGCATGATACTGTGTTACCTGGCAGCTCTGGTGTCATGATGCTGTGTATGATACTGTGTTACCTGGCAGCTCTGGTGTCATGATGCTGTGTTACCTGGCAGCTCTGGTGTCATGATGCAGTGTATGATACTGTGTTACCTGGCAGCTCTGGTGTCATGATGATGTGCATGATACTGTGTTACCTGGCAGCTCTGGTGTCATGATGATACTGTGCTACCTGGCAGCTCTGTGTTACTGTGTATGATACTGTGTTACCTGGCAGCTCTGGTGTCATGATGCTGTGTTACCTAGCAGCTCTGGTGTCATGGTGCTGTGTATGATACTGTGTTACCTGGCAGCTCTGGTGTCATGATGCTGTGTATGATACTGTGTTACCTGGCAGCTCTGGTGTCATGATGCTGTGTTACCTGGCAGCTCTGGTGTCATGGTGCTGTGTATGACCTGGCAGCTCTGGTGTCATGATGCTGTGTTACCTGGCAGCTCTGGTGTTATGATGACTGATACTGTTACCTGGCAGCTCTGGTGTCATGATGCTGTGTATGATACTGTGTTACCTGGCAGCTCTGGTGTCATGGTGCTGTGTATGATACTGTGTTACCTGGCAGCTCTGGTGTCATGGTGCTGTGTATGATACTGTGTTACCTGGCAGCTCTGGTGTCATGATGCTGTGTTACGTGGCAGCTCTGGTGTCATGGTGCTGTGTATGATACTGTGTTACCTGGCAGCTCTGGTGTCATGATGCTGAGTATGATACTGTGTTACCTGGCAGCTCTGGTGTCATGATGCTGTGTTACCTGGCAGCTCTGGTGTCATGGTGCTGTGTATGATACTGTGTTACCTGGCAGCTCTGGTGTCATGATGCTGTGTATGATACTGTGTTACCTGGCAGCTCTGGTGTCATGGTGCTGTGTTACCTGGCAGCTCTGGTGTCATGGTGATGTGTTACCTGGCAGCTCTGGTGTCATGGTGCTGTGT